CATGGTTTTTAATAATCTAAATTAGGAAGAATATTATTCATTAATAATAAGATAAAAAGAGTTTATTTCTCAAATCTTACTGCTTATAATCTTCTCCATTAGAGAAATGATTTTAAACCAAGTGAGAGATGGTATAGAATGATTGCGTAAATATTTAAAATTATTAAAAACCTAAAAATAATTATCAAGAGATTGAAATAAAACTATGATCTGTAAATTGATACTCCCCCATTCTGTCTTTCTATATGACAATCTCAGACAATAGTTATTTTATTTCTTAAAAATACATAAAGTTGAGAAAACGTTCGTTATACACAATTTTTTATTATGTAATTCAAAAAAATATTTAAGCTCACTGGATCCGCGAATACCTATTAGGATTATAAAAACGTGATTACAAAACAATAAATTTTTGACTGAAATAAGATACAGAATATTGAATGGGTAAATGTCTCAAGGTGTCATAGTGTACGCGAACCAAACTGGCCCGACCAACGTCCACGACCTACGATCAAATGCATTCCTCTTTTATTCGAAGGACATCTTCGGGAACTGCCACACCGCTATCGTCCGCGTGGTTATAGGATCCGTTCAAGTTAGCTTCCTTCTCCATCTGCGCACTCTTCAAAGCGCCGTCGGTCGCCAAATATTCCCGTAGTCAGCCAGACAGGAGCTTAAAGCAATTTCGGCCAGGTGTGTGTCCCTATGCGGTGGACAGGCAACTTGGTGAAATCTCTTCAGGGCGTCGCAGAGTGTCTCGATCGCCTCATCGATCCTTTCGTTTTCCATACTGGACAATCCACGATCGTAGAGAGCCTCGCACTCCCGCAGACCTGCGAGCCGATCCTCCAAGCAGATTTTCTTTCGACAGTCCGGGCATTTTATCGGCTTACCCTGTTGCGAGTGCAGTCCACCGCATCCTGCTGTAGGACACCTTGAGAAGGAAAACGAAAAAAGGATATTTTACAGATTCCCTCTGTTCACAAAAATTTTATTACAGTATTATAGATAAAAATCCAAAATCAAATCAAATTATAGCAGAAAGTTTGACGTAACTTTTGTTTTGTAATTAATTTCTATATAAAATTATCCCTCTATTCGGGAGTGACATCAATTTTAAAACGTTAAAAAATATAATGTAATTTATAACAGTCTTATTCGTATCTTTGATTCACAGAAGAATTCTGAAATCATGATCCTTTTAATAACAACAAATTTGGAGAATCGATTTCTTATTTCTCAGTTAAAGAAAATCATATTTTATCGCAATATTCTTCTACTTCTTACATCATTTATTTATGTTCATAAATAATCACAAAAACTCCGTTTGACATTACTTGCAGGATGTGGGTTTGTTCTCTAGTCAATCCATTATGGTACTCCGTACGAATGTAATTACGAATATAGCATCGTAAAAAATGCTTTAATCGGTATTATAAATCGCAAAGAGAGAGAACCGCTGAAATGTCAACGAAGACGCGCAACTCAAAAGAATTACATTTGCGTTAGCGTGATGATGAAATAATTACTCGTAATTGAACTTTTGTCCGGCGCTCTCAAAGAGGAACTCTATGGTTTATTTCTCTAAGAGAAATACACGTACACACACCGTCAGCGAAACAGCGTCCCGTTTTGTTGACGTAAAAGACGCAACGTAATGAGTAGTGGTGCTGCTACCTAGAAAATTACCGCGAAACTGATAAAAGCACCTGGCCGTGTCGTTGGAGTTGGTATAAGAATCTTGTGACGACGTACAGAAGTACCTTTGACGACAGAAGCGTCCTTACGGTACAAGCGCTTCTTCCCTTTGAGGAACTCGCCTCATCAGGAGTTGCGGTTTTTAACGATCTCGAAAAACATCTGTTAACTCTCTCTCACTATCCATCACCCACCCACTCTTCTCTTTCACTTATTCATTCTCTTTCTCTCTTTCGGTTGCTTGTTATTTCTCCCTTCTGATATTCTTGTGCTTTTACTCGTTACTACGGTTTACTACCATTATATCTTTCGATTCTTTTCCTGACATTCAAGTTAGACATTTTTAGTTAGACGACAGAAACCGTTAATTGTATTAATTAAAACGTACACTGCAACAAAGTGCGTACATTTCTAGACGCGTTAATGAGTAACTTTTTACGTTACTACCAATAAATATTACTTTGCTAATTTCTTGGCATGGAGACGTTCAATCGAAGAGACATTTAAGTGAAGCGCCGATACGATCGTTCGCGTTTAATTAAATTAAATTACTTTGTTAATGAGCTTGATCTCAGAGAATTTAAATGGACTTACCTCAACCTGACAGAATCGTTCGTCAGATTCTCAAAGCGCGGCCAATCCTCCTGGCAGGCCTTGCACGTACACCGGAACCAATACCTTCCCGCCAATGTCCTTTGACGCTCGGCGAGGGTCCTCTTCGTGAATATCGGTCCGTAGTTTTCGGCAATAACATCGCCGGGCCGCAAACCGCGTATCGCTCTTATTACGATATGTCGCCCAATGAAGTATCTGCGATTCGACAAAAGGAGGATTCTAATCCTATTCCATTAATTAATACCATAATGAAAATACGTGAATCATCTTAAGTCAGTAAAAATTAATATACATAATAACTATGCCATTTAATTATAATTAAAGATTTGTTATATAGATGGTAACTCTAAATAAATAAAAAATGTCAAATTCGAATAGTAAATTAAATTGCCTTTACCAAAGGCGTTAAATATTTACAAGAAAATTATAGAAAATATACGTATATTTCCTGACATTAAATATTTTATATTTTTATTAATAACGTGTACTCACAAATTCCTTAAGTTAAATAATGTTCTGTTATTTTTAACTTGAAAATGTTTTAAAATGTATTATTTTAATTCATATATAACATGTGGTTAACAAACGAACCACATCCAATCAAACTATTTCTGTAGTTGAATTACTTAAGGAATTTTAAAGGAGTTTTAAAGTAAGCAGCGCTCATATTCTAACGTATGTACTTAGTACATAATCAATTTAATTTGAATAAAATTAATACATTGCTTGATATTAACTCTATTATTTCAGTTAAATTAACAATATGTCAAAGAGAAACAATAGCGACCTAGGAACAATAATTGAAAATAACTTATAAGGGGAATAATTTATGAAATTATGAATTTAGTAGTATACCTTTTATACGTTTTACATTTTTCAGTATAAATACACAGCGTAGATGTTTTTTTATTATTATATAAATTTTATTATTTCTATTTTTAATCAATGCACAAAATATAATAAATCAATCGACGCGGTAGCGTCGCGACGCCAAGTGCATAAAATAAAAATATAACCGTTTGACATGATCGCTTGACGCATGAACGTCATCGTATATATGTTCATGTCGCTGCCAAATTCCCGACGCTACCGCTAGCTTTATCTGGAGTTTTGACATCGACAAACTTTAGATTAAAATTACTCAAAAATTAAAAGCCCAATCAAAAATCTAGAAACACTTTTATTAAACTAATTGCAATATTATATTTGACTCTTTATTTGAGTTCAATTCAACTTGAAAATAATGTTGAATTTAACTCTGACATTGAGTTGGTTGATTCGAATTGCTTCAACTAATTTCGAGTCAACTGAACTCAATAAATTACTTCATTTGACTTTTTATTTGAGTTCATTTAACTCTGAGATTGAGTTGGTTGAACCATCGATTCGAGTTGCTTTAACTAATTTTCCAGTCAATTGAACTCAATAAATTACTCCATTTGACTCTTTATTCGAGTTCATTTAACTCCGAGATCGAGTTGCTTCAACTCATTTTCGAGTCAATTCAACTCAATAAATTACTTCATTTGACTCTTTATTTGAGTTGATTTAACTTCGAGATCGAGTTGCTTCAATTCATTTTCGAGTCAATTGAACTCAATAAATTATCAAATGAAGTAATGAAGCGACGCGGTAGCGCCGAGACACCGAGTGCATAAAAATATAACCGTTTGACTTGACGCGTGAACGTCATCGTGTATATGTTCACGTCGCTGCAGCCAATTCGCGACGCTACCGCTAGCTTTATCTGGAGTTTTGACCTCTACAAACTTTAGATTAATATTACTCGCAGAAATTAAAAGCCCAATCTAAAATCTAAAAACACTTTTATTATATCTTTCGATTGCAATCAGTCTGAATAACATTGGTGCAGTCAATACCGAGATCTAGAGACCGAGTCTTGAAAAGATGTGATGTAAATTATGGAGAAATAATATCTAGATATATTAGAAAAATTTTTCATTATAGAAGAAAGCTTTATTAACATCTCTTCTTTGTTGAATTATTGTTTTCATATATTATGTATATTTGCAGAATATTGCGATAAAATAACGGGTTCTAAAATATTGCGTTTTAATGCGGGCACGCCAAGTTTTTTCTTCATTATAATCCAGTTGACAATTTTAAACACTTTCGGTCTATCTTATTTGTTTTGCGTAATGAAATACATGGTTAATTACATTTATTTCATGTCCGATCTTCAATTAAGAAGAATTCAATGCCTTTTTTATGTACTTGGCGTATATATTTTCTTTTTTTAAAAAAGGTTTTTTTAAGGTCTAAACATTGTGTTAAAAGTTGTATTTATAATTTCTATCTGACATAGAAATTATTATCAAGTACACCAGTCAATAAATCGAAAAACGGGAAGAGAACGACGAGAAAATCATTTTGTAATGAAATAATAATCGTAATCATCACAATAGCACCAACGACGTTAATAACATGAACAGTAACAATTTCCGCTTGTACCGAGTAGTGCAGACGAGTTTGTGACATTACGGAATAATGAGCGCTCTGGTGTAATTTCGCGTATAATGGCCGCGACCCACGAAGTCATCACAGACGCATTTTAGTGCTGCCCGAAAATTCACGTACTTAATTAGCGTTAATAGATTCGCAGTAGAAGCATCAATTATTCCCCAGGAGAAATTATAATTTTCCGATTGCATTGTTCACCTTTTAAATGATTCGATACGTTGAATAAATTATTTGGAAACGAGCACAGTCGCCTCTTACGAGAGTGTATCGTTAAAATTATTTATTTAAACAAATCGAATTCATAAACGATTATTCCATTTATCTATCAATTTAGTGAGTTTTCCGTAAGCTCACGGATTCATGTAATTCCATTAAAATGAGAAAATTTTGACGTAAAGACAAAGGAGTTTTCCGACGACAAAACGCGGGAAGTTGTTGAAGGATCCCGGAGAAACTTCGTTTAACAGACTGCGGGCGGCCGCGAGTCAATTAATAATTCGCGCGTGATGACACAGCGATTGTGTATACCGTCTGGTTATACTAATTAGCTCTCACGCCGATCTACGTCGCGGTCTACTCTTTAACGCAGCCACGTTATTAATATGTAAATCAGCCAGAACCATGTGCACTTCGCTGAGACGCGAAGTTTGACAACACCACGTGCTTATAGTGTGTAAAAGCTCGATGTGTCTTAAGACAAAGTATTTTTTCTTAGAAATACTGTTAAATTCAGTATATCAAATAATTAAACTTTAAGTTATTTTAATAATTTCTGTAAATCGTACCTGCTTCTCGATTCAATATATGTCGTTAATTTAACTAAAATATAATAGAGTTAAACAATTTAACTGAAGAAAATGTATTAAATATAACTCACAAGTTTCATTTATAACATTATTTAATAAGTACATGCGTTAATAAAGCCGCCGTAATTTATTTTGAAACTAACCGTAGAAATTAATTCACATTTTGACAAAATGTTATTTAACTCAAGAGATTGAGTTAACATTTCTCCTTTGAGAGAGATATACATATATATATATATATATATATATTATATATATATATCCTATTACTATTATATTTTTCATAATAATGAAAAATAATCACTTGGGGGTACTACAATCTTTTTTTGTGTATAACTTTTTTTTGGAGGGTGGGCAAATGAAAATAACGGGTGGACAAACGAATGCAATAATGATTTGATCAAAATTCGCATTTAGTGATGCTGACTTCTCAGAGCAGCTCTGTGAAGTTGACATCCCTAAATTCATATCTCATGACTATGTTGATAAAAAAATTCGAAAAAAATCATGGTAGCTTCTTGCGATGGGTACTATAATATATCAAAATTTCAGCGAAATCAAAAATCCAAAAGTTTTCGTGTGGCACACTTGGGATGGAATGCCTCATATATATATATATATATGGGTTTATATATATATATATATAAACAGTGAAAATATTATTTTTGTTCATAAGAGAGCAACGACGAATCAATCGTTCGTGACGATTGCATTAAGTCTCGCTTTTCTTCGCAAAACGCTTCATTTCTTTTTTCACAGAAAAACGTATACTCTCCGAAGAACGTATTTATCTTCTCCTTGCTTACCTCGTCACTGCGGGATAGCAGTCGTGATTGAAACGGGCGACCGAGGGATAAATCGCCACACCGAGGTAGACCGGACGACTGCCATGAAATCGATGCTCCGCACTTATTCGCGTCTCGAAAAACTCGTGGGCGTTAAATTGGAGCAGCTGCAGGTTCCTCAGCAGCAGGGCGGCCACGGTGATCTCCTCAACGCCCGGGACTTCTGCAAACTCGCCAAAGTTTTCGATATTAGTGTAGAACGCTCCCCCGCGTTCTGTGCATTCCTCTATTCGCTCTTTTCTCCCTATTCTTGGCTTCCCGGCAAAAACTTTTCGCGACTCTTTCCACTGAACGTTGTTAAAATTACGGTTTTACGGCGCGAGTGGACGAACGCCGCGCGGAGAATCTGCTGAATCGAAAGTTCACCCTCCGGGCGAGCAAGCACATTTTTTCACCTCTTTCTCTCGACTATTCGCGATCCGGTAAATTATTCCGGAAGTTAAATACAGCCCCCAGAGAAGGAATCGGTGTATGTTACGGGTGTAAAGTGGCCATGGATAAGTACCATCGTCCGGCGTGGGGTTTGCGAAAAAACCGACTCTCTGCAGACATTTGAGCAGAAAGGCTGCCATCAGCGATCTCTCTAGAAAGTCTTTGCTCGTCCGTTTGTCCGCGTGCGTTACCAAGTTGTACGGTGCCACGTCGACGTTCTCGTCATCGCCTTCGCAGGATTCTTTTGTGCCCTTCTCTTCCATCATCTCGGTAATTTCCTCTCGTCTAGATTCCTTGAGTTTCCTCCGTCTGATTCTTCTTTTCGCCGACTTACTACTCGCCGGCGATTTCATGTCATATGTATCCGGTGTCGCCGTCGGCGTCGTAGTAGAGGCAGCTGCCAAAAGCACCGTGACCTTTGCCACGTCGTTCTTCTTTAATTTCTCGTAAATCTTCAAACACTTCTGTGGACCCTCCTGTGTTACCATCCGAAGAGCTACCATGCTGAGCACGCTCATGCCGGAGCCTAAGGGAAGGAATTTAAGAGCTGCTTGTAATTACCCTATAAGGGCTTTGGCCCAAAGGGCACTTGAGATAATACCAGGCGTGTGTAAAGCAGCTTTTATTTAGCGAGAAAAATATCTCGACGAATATGATGGCGTTTATTATTTAACTAAATAGGAAGAATTATGGTCAATTTAGGCCAATTACTGTCAAAGTTAAATGTCAGACTAATACATGTATATATATGTACTGAAATTTTATCTCAGAAATGACTACGCGTCCCTCGATTAGTTTCGGTCTTTCAATACAATCAACTTAAAATATTAATAATTCCTTCAAATTTAATTATATCATTGATTTTATATTACTAGCTATCTTAAAACCTATAAAGAGTTCATTACGAAAAATATGACCTCAAGAATTTATTATTATTTCTGAGATAAATTGATTTAAAATCTGATTTTAAATTAGCACTTTTTTTGTATTATAAATTCTATTTTTCAAAATATTTTTATAAAAAGTATGATCATAATCTTAAAATCTCAAATGTCGCATAAACTTATGACTGAAATTTAAACTCGTTTAAGTTTAGGCAGGCAGGGAAACTAAAATTACGTCTGTTATTGCAATGCTCGCTGAAACTACATCCGTTATCGAATGCTGTATACATTATACTGACATTGTCCATTCATGCTCTTACCTATCAGCAACGCCAGAACTTTGCACTCGTACTTGTGGTACGTCGCCATCGCGACTTCTTTGCATTTCTTTCCACAAAAAGCAACGCAACTGCAGTTCGGGCACCCAACCGGCGCTCTTAGCCTAAAAATTTCCCGGATATTCGTAAATCGATTGAAAGGAGGACAAGGTTAGTTCAGAAAAAGCGAATTATGTAAATTGACGAATAAAAGCCGAGGGAAACTATCATGCAAGGGCAAAATTCAATCCAGGTAAATTTATAATAGATCAACAATCTCGAGTAATAGATTCCAAATACAACGATTAGTTTCACAAATTCAAATTATTTTGTAAAACGTCGTGAATCCGGAAGTTAATTTAAAAAATGAAAGAAACCTATACAAATAATAGATTTATAAAAAAACCATTAATTACGCGGAGAAAAATGATTTTAATAGACTTACAAGTCTATTAAAAATATTTTGACTATTTTTGCCGAATTTATGAACCTTACTTGCCTGAAAGTAAAAAATACCGGAGATGAAAGGGATAAAAAAGTACATTACATTTATAGTAAATCCATTCAAGAGATTATCTTATTTCTCATAATAAAGTAAATCATACTATTCTCAAGACTGCAAGCACGAACTCTCAAGACTTTATTCTTATATATTTTATCACGTAATAAAGTAAATTTTGTCAGCGCGCTAAGCAAAAAATATTCGTTGATAAAGAAAATGCTATTGAAATGTATGGTAATTTATAAATTAAGAAATAGTACCAAATTGTAGTAGCATAAAATTTACTTTACGAAATAAATAAAAAGTACCTTACAGTATAGTTACTGTCGATGTTACACGACGATCGCTCATATAATATTTACTAGAAAAATAAAATAAATTTTATATAAAATAGACATCTGTATATCTACAGTAAAAAAATTTACTAACTTAATATACAAGCTAATATATGATTTTGATAATGTATATTTCTTTGAATGATACTAAGTAAATATTTACTTACAGTAAATCAATATTTACTCAATAAAAAAAGATAGTTAAATCAAATTAATGATTTTTGTATCAAATAAATATATATTTATATTCAGAGTAAATATTTACTTAAAACTGTTCAAATATGTATAAAAATTTAGTATTTTTTCAGTGTACACATCATGAACCTGCTAATGGATCTGTGAAGCAAGCACGACATTATTTTACATTTTTCTCCGTGTAACGTCTAGCAAATGAATTTTTGATGTCTTTAAGGCCGGTATTCATAGTCGGTTCTTATTTCAAGACTGTTTTAAGTAATGTCTTAAGATGCTAAAGCGGTCCTCTGATTGGTTCGTAACTCCTCAAGACTGAACTTAAGACAATCTTGAATATAAGAACTGACTATGAATACCGGCCTAAGACTGGATTTATTATACCATTGAGGTAACCGTATTCATTGAAACAAACTTCATGCATGTTTGTTCGTATGTTCGTTTACCCGGTCGACTTTGGACGTCGCCTTTAAACATGCGTGCCATTCTGAAATTTTTCACAGCTCAGTCAGCGCACGCGGCTTTTTTATCTTTGCGTAATAACGAGTTTTTCCCGACCACATATGTCGTTCGTCGCGCGCTTCGCCCGAGCGTCGCTTGGGTTAATGAAATCCATTTTCTCTCTCTCGCCGTCGCGGGTTTATCCGTAAAAAGCTGCGGATAACGTTGGGGGAGGCGGACGGGGAGTAGACAAAGCAGAAGCTACACACGGCGGATTACGTGTCGCCCAAGGCTCGCGTCCATTAAATGCGGCAGGAGTAGAGGGGACACACCCGGGTGAGAGAACCCGACGGCAATTTTCTCCTCACCTTGCGTAACAATGCTGACAATGGGTGCCATAGAACTCGGGCAGGAGACAGCCCGCTAGCGGCGGCTCGACTAACAGAATATCACCCGGATGTATTTCCGCGGTCGCGACGGCGTGTTTACCCGCCGTCGTGGTCTCACGGATTTCCAGGGCGCCGGACGACCAACGGAGCTCGGAATTAACGGCGCCATTTAACGGCGTGCCATCGCCGCCAGCACTGTTGCCTGCGAAGACGCAGTGTATAGTGTTTTCTTAGGGTGAGTTCTGCCATGACCGAGTTAATGGAACGGTAGGTATCCCGCGAGATACGAGGATTCGCTCGATGGTTGTTTAAACTCTATTACACGGAACGTATACATGATATTCTAAACGCAGGCTCTTTAATAAACATCAAACGTTCGTGAAATAAGACAATGGGAAATGGCGGGAACAGTGAGATCAGGATTTCGCATATAATAGGATTTTCGATACATTAAAGGTATACAGGGTATCTCAGACTTTGCAGATTTTTGAGATTATTTCGAAATGAATATATCCTAATACCAAATGTCGAGACTAAGGTAGTTTTTAAATAAGAATGGGTTTAAAATTAGTCAATTAAAATGTCAAAAATGCGTGCACTCAAGCATGACTAGAAATCCTCTACTAAAACCCGATTATGGACTAACATTACTTTGACTTTAAGCGAGGTTTAAAAGTCTCACTTTTTCTCTGTAAAACCGAGATAGAAAGAGTTTTAAGTCTCACTTAAAATCAAAATAACGTTGGTGCGCTCACGCACACAATTGGACCTAAGAGTCATAAGAAAGCTACTTTTGATTGATCATGCTTTAACAAACAATTCTTAATAGAGAGAGAAAGAGAGAGAGACATCGTTATTTATTAAGCGCTCCAGAAACAAGTTCTCTACAGTACCAGAAACATAACAAAAAGCCGAATACAAACAATAAGTATAAAAGTACAAACATAAAAGATAAAAAGTAAAAATAAAATGATAATGATAATAATAATGATAATAAAAACAAAAAGAAAAATAAAAGATGAGAAAACAAAAAGGTAGTTAAAATATATGAGAACACAATGCGAGAACGGATGAACAGAAACAAAATTATTAAATGCAAAAAGTAATAAGCGCAAAAGAAATTATTGACTTAAGCTTAACAAGTAGCTGTGCAATTTGTCTTTAAAATAACGCAGAGATATGACACAATGAATGTCCCACGGGATGCCATTCCAAAACTTCGCCGCGCAGCAACAGAAAAATTGGTTAAAAAATTCAGTGCAACACGTAAGTAAAAGTTAATTATCCTCTGGCGATCTTATGAAACGCAAGGGTTTACTTAACTTAAATTGAAAGCCATGATACAGAGACTCAGCCACGCCTAGAGTACAGTATAATGACAATAGAGAGAGAGAGAGAGAGAGAGAGAGAGAGAGAGAGATAGAGAAAGAGAGACAGAGACAGAGAGACAAAAAGATGAAACAAAATGAGAAAGAGAAAGAAATAGATGTATCTTCCTAGCAGATTTTTATTAAAACTATTATCCTGCATATACAAAACTGCAGCTCGTGTTTAGACTCTTATTAGAGGATTATTATGTATAACACACTGCACAATAGTGGAGATGTTTTCAGACATCACAATCCTATTCTCTTTTATTCTCTTCTAACAGTGAAGAAACATCTTCACTATTATACAATGTACCATGCTTGAGCGCGCGAAGTTTGGACAGTTCAATTGACTAACTTTAAACATTTTTCATTTCAAAACTATCGTGGCCTCGACATTTTGGTATTACGATTTTCGTCTCGAAATGATCCCTCGAATTTTTATTATTAACGAGTACCGCGCGAAGTCTGGAACATCTTGTATACTATATATAAATACAATACAAAATGTACCTACATATTTAGCTTCGTCATACATGTTGCGCGCTGTGCTCCGCGAACGCTATCGAAAATCCGGGAGGAAAAGCGCGGCTTCACTTTTCCCCTCTTTTTAGCCACGGATTATGCGATGCGAGAGCGAAACGAGAAAATAACCCCTCTCCAGCTTTTTCGCCTCCGACCGTTTCGGATATCGTTCGGCAGTACCTTGCGCGCACGCATTTTACTATGTTATTCCTTTTGCACTCTTTGTGCCCATACATGCGCGTTATCTCGAGGATACTCGACGAGGTAGGCGCGGAGCGTACCGCTCTTTGTCCCGCGCCTCCACGTCGATTTCCATCGGTGGGGTGGTTGGGTTAACGGCGCGAAAAGTTCTGGCCTCGCTCCGCGCCGTTCATGAATGAACGGTCGGAGAAAGGCGAGGAGGGAGATCGTATACTACGGCCTACTACGAGCCGTAGTACGCGCGCCGGTTGATGCGGCAGTTCGTCGCGACAAGGCACGTGTGCGATAAGGACGAGAGAAGAAAAGAGAGAAATAGAAAAAAGAGAAGAAGATAAAGAAGTGCGACTGCGCGGCGATCTTGACTCGGCCTTAATCTCGCGATCAAGATCGCAGGCCGGTCTTAAAACGCCGGTAATTCTGTATGTAAAGACGATCTCCAAAGAAATCGTGTTGACGAACTGTATCCTCGCATTTTTAGCATTTTGCTCGAATGTATGACACGATTGGACATGATCTTAAAAATTTCGCAAAAATTGCTTATTTTCATCAGTTGCTGTGATTTTTGTTTAAAATATTTATAAATCAATTTTTAAATGTATAAATAATGTTTATTAACCTTCCGAAGCTGACGGTAGATCTCGTGGATCCTTTCAATTATATCTTTTCGGAGCTGATGGTAGATTTATTCAACTCACTTAATTATATCTTTATGTTACATCTACAAATTTGAATTATTGTTATTAAAATAAAATTAGTATTCACACACACATTTATCTTTGCATGAATTATGTCATTTTGATTCCTTGAAATTATAATAATTAGTATCTTTTAGTTAACATACAAATTAAATAGCTCTCACAAACCGAACATCAATAACTGTATTACAAATATTTATAAATTAATAGGCATTATTATACGTTACAACTAAATAATTTCAATGTCAGCTCCAGAGGAATTGATATATTAATGATTAAATTTAAAAAAGAATGTATTTTTTTTAATAATACACAAATCAATTATTGTTGGACGATCGGATAGCGATAAATCAGAATTTCATGTTAATTCGATTTACACGCAGCGCTGAAGTTTCTCTACGATTTAAAACTCTCGTAAGAGTTAATGAGAACGTGTAAACAAGCCGCAATCCCGCGCGAAATGCCATTTCCGGTTATCTTGGCCGCGACGTTTGCGTGTGGCATGCTGCCCACTGGGGTGTTCTAATGAATGGAAGAATTGCTACGGTCCGAAAGGAGGATGTGTACACACGACGAAACGATTAATCACGATCCGTCTGAAAGTGACGATATTCGCGATACCGTGTGAAACTCCAGTTTGTGCGTTTTAATCTTTGGCCGAGGTTACAATAAACGGATTGAAAAAATTGAGATTTTTTTCAATAATAGTTAATTAAATTCAAGAATCGAAACTAATCCATTAAAGTTTCCATTTCTGAATTATCACGATTATTTTGAATTTAGGTAATAATTTATAAATCAAATCAAAAGAAGCCAAATACGATAAAGTCTGAATTTTGATGCTTAATAATATTTATATGTAAATTTCAAACTTAAAATGTAACCTGAGTCTTTAAACTGCAATGCAGATTTTATATTATTCCAGACTGTATAAAAATATAAAAAAATGTTTTTACACACTTGTAAAAGCTTTAACAACGAATTTTAATTGTTATAGAAATTGGATTGTATTTTTTATTGTTTACACATTTAAATTTATATAGAATTTACAACCAAAATATTATTGTTCCTTTAAAGTTCAACATTGCACAGGGTGAAAATTTATATAGAAATATTATTAGGTACCAAGATCTATAACATTGATCGCTTTTAGCACTTCCGTTATTTGATTTTTATGCCTGTTTTCAATAATGTAGATTAATTTTAATCTTCGTTCAACATAGTCTCATCTTTTTCTAGTTCTAAGAGTTAGAAAAAAATAAGGAGTACGTTAAACCTAGTTTGTTCGAATTTTCCAATTTGGGAGTCTTCAAATTGTAATAATGAAAAAAATCTTTTTGCTTTTATACAAAATAATTTTTCGAAGTAGAGAATTTTTCTCCCATATCTCATCATTGTTAAACTGACATTAATATATACATTGGTGGAAACTGGCATTATTCATGTATCAGTTTAATTCAATTTATTACTATAATTCATTTGACATTAATTTCGAGAAGACAATAAGCATCTATTCTGTGTCGTATTCGTTAAGATATTATAAAAACAATATCGTTACGTTTTCCTATATACATATGTTCTCTCGTTATTTGTATTCGCGAATATATTTCATTATTCCATGACATTACGGATATCACGGAATAATCACCGACGAGCGCAAGTTACATTTGCTCGAATTTCATCCCTGCGATTTCGAATTTTTTTCCGCGTTTTTACAGTTAACGCAACGTCGCGTCCGTCGTCGGTCGAAAAAAAAAAATATGCGGAGGGAATAATATCCGCAGACGGGCACGGAGCGCGTGTTAAAATTGCAGGATCCATTTACTAATTTACGATCCGGCGGGCCGATTACCGCGAAGAACGTACACGACGTACGATGAATGGAAAAAATATTCATTCGCGCGCGCGCGCAAAATTTCCACGTGGATAACATGAATTTATATTGACTTGTATTCATGAAGAATCTCTGGTTTGAAACCACAGAATGACTCAGTCTGAATTAATCTTCTTTTCGATTATCTTTTCATTATTTCGAAATTAATCAACTGTCCAACTGACAATTTCATTTATTCAATTTATTAATTTGTCGCTACCTAATTAACATATTCAGAAATACAAGTGCATGTCGGAATATTTATTAAATCTTTTATTAAATGATTTCGTTCTTTTGGAAAAATATCGTTCTTTTCTTTTTTGAATTTGTCTTGTTTTCACTCATTAAAAGCGCGCAAAAAGTTTAGGATTACAACCAAAGTTTCGACTGCTTTTCTGTTAGCGAGTTCTGAAAAATTAACCAGCGTTATCTAAGATGATAAAAAAATCATGCCACGAATTGAGGATTAACCGAAAGTATAATAGCGGCGCTGCGATAAAGAAGGTATGATGAGTTGTAATAATTGAGTCATAAATAACAA